TCTCTCTCTCTCTCTCTCTCTCTCTCTCTCTCTCTCTCTTCTCCTCTTTTTTCTTCTCATCTCTTCTCTTTTCTTTCTCTTTCTTCCTCTGTCTGTTTCTCTGTCTATCTCTGTCACTGTCTGTCTAACTGTCTGTCTGTCTAACTGTCCGTCTGTCTGTCTGTCTGTCTGTCTGTCTGTCTGTCTGTCTATCTATCTGTCTATATGCCCCCCCCCATTTCTCTCTCTCTCTCTCTCTCTCTCTCTCTCTCTCTCTCTCTCTCTCTCTCTCTCTCTCTCTCTCTCTCTCTCTCTCTCTCTCTCTCTCTCTCTCTCTCTCTCCCTCTCTCTCTCTCTCTCTCTCTTTCTAAACAATAACCTTTATTCCTTAAATAGTTTAACATATCAATTCTACGAATAGGATATCAAACAGCAAACACATCCTCGTCACCAGAAATCAAACTGATAACAATCGTAATAATAACAAAAGAACTTTCTTCCCCGATGACTCATACGGCAGACAAATGACAGGCGACATGCGCACCCGAGCGGCCCAGATGTCGCGATGCTGACATTATCAATGGTAACGATCGAGGCATGACGTTGCGAGCTGGTTGTTGCTTTCGTTATGGGTGAATTTCACTTTTTTCCCCTCTCGAGGATGGCCAGAAATTGGAGGGTGTTATCGCTTCTTATGGTGTAGGGTATTGTGTGTGTGTGTGTGTGTGTGTGTGTGTGTGTGTGTGTGTGTGTGTGTGTGTGTGTGTGTGTGTGTGTGTGTGTGTGTGTGTGTGTGTGTGAGGAAAGGAGGAAAGGAGAGAAGGAGGGAGGGAGGAAAGAAGAAAAGAGAGAGTGAGGGGGAGGGAGAGAGAGAGCGAGAGGGGGGGGAGAGAGAGGAGATAGAGAGGGAGGATATGTTCGTGTACATGCACATATACTTGAATATCTGTACGTGCACGGTGTTGCTGCATCCTGTACACACCCTGATCTCCCGGAACCGTCGCGCAGTGCGTGCCAATGAAATTATCTTCGTGAACTATGAAAAGAATTAACTAGGTCTTGTTATTAATGGTTTAAATCAACAACTTTAACAATACTTACAGGTTTTTATAGAAAAAGATACTTCCTGGGATTTGGAAAGAGCTCAATCGAACACAGACTAATTATGAGACCCACTGCGAGTGCTGAAAGAGAAATGATATAGTCTCCCCGCCCCGTTCTCTTTGAATTCACAGAAAATGGACCAGGAATGACCTATCAAGTGTCCTTCCAGCAGCGAAAGTCCTTGTGGAATAAAAAAAGAGTCTCACATGTGTTGTAATTAAAGAAAAAGGTTTCACGTGGTGGTGGCTGTTGAGCAAAGGGTCAAGAAGCCTGCACAAGAAGCACACAAAGAGAGAAAAAAAGAACATAATCCCAGGAAAAAAAAGGAATAGTTTCCCCCTCAACCAACCCTTCAACCGACAGAAAACGTAGACATTCAGACCCGTTTTCTTTGACGACGGAGAGCGAGATTCACAATTTTCAATTAAAAAAAAAATCCAAAAATTCAAAAAAAAAAAAAAAAAAAAAGATATCGGCTCTCACCTCAAGGACTTAAAGAGTGAGCGTCAAATGGTAAGTGGAGAAGCAGTGAGCGGAGATAGAGAGCGTTTTGGGCGGGAAATGCTACTTATCCAAGTGCCAATGGGCGGGAGAGGCCGGCGGGTGGCCTTCCACAATCCACAGGTAAAAACGTGTGCTTTTTTTGGGATTTTTTTTTTTTCTCATTTGGGGTTCTTGGCTGTGATGAGTTGTTTTGTGTGTAATCATTAAAGTATTCATTTAGTGTTATTTTTTGTGAATGATTTTAATTGTTATTATTTTTGCTGTTTTATTATTATTAGTATCATTATTTTTATCATTATTATTATTATTATTATTATTATTATTATTATAATTTTATTATTTTTGAGTAAAAATCTAGCTCTGTATTCACTCTCTTTATTCACTTCCTTTATTCCTCATTAGTTGTCCCTCCATTTACTCATTTATTCTTTTGCTTATGTTTATTAACCCTTCATCTTTTTCTTTCAGTGCTTTTCTCTTTCATTATTTTTCTTAATTTCTGTTTATATTTTTTTACTGTCTTATTTTATTATTTTTATCGTATTATTTATTGTATTGTTTACTTTCATCGTTTTTCACTATCATTATTGTATATGAATCTGTTGCATTTATTACCGACTTTGAAATATTATCCAAATAGATTTTCACACATTTTTTTTATATGTACAAATAATGTACTATTTGATTGATAGTTATGCATACAGGTTAATGAAGTATAAATTCACGTAGATTTACAGATACACTTATAGACAGACGGGATTGAGACGTAAATAGATAGATAGATACAAAAAAAAAATCGGTAAATAGATGGAAGGACAAACAGAACAACTCGATAGATGGATAGAAAGACAGATAGGAAAACTCGATAGACAGAAATAAAGACAGAAAACCTCAGTCGATAGATTTTAAAGTAAGACAAAAAAAATCGATAGGTACATCAAAAGACGCATAAAAAACTCGATAGATATCAAGACAGAAAAGAGATAGATAGAAAAGCAATCAGATAAAAATCGATACATAGACAAAATCGATAGATAGATAGAAAGACAATTCGATACTTACATAGATAGAAACTCGATAGAGAGAGAGACAGAGAGATACTTACAGGTGTGATAACTGTATTCGTGTGAATTCACTGAACGGAAGACAGTGATTCAATATTTTTATAAAATGACTAAGCATAATTTAGTATCAGCTGACCTGGTTTTAGAGTTACATCTTTGTCTGTTGAAATGTGGGATTTTGCCCCCGTAGAGTATTTCCAAACAATGCCTTATTGATAATACTGTTAATAAAGATAATACATCCTTGTATTCATTGTTAACGTTGTTATTATTATTTTTAATGTTATTTCATTATTATTATAGTTATTATCATCATCATCCTTATCCTCCTCTTCCTCATTATCAGCATCATCATCAGCAGCAGCAGCAGCAACAGCAGCATCACCGTCATCGTCATCAATAGTCATTATCTTCTTTTTCTGCATCATCACCATCTTCGTCATCATCATCTTCTTCTTCTTCTTCTTCTGCATCATCATTTTCAGCATCGTCATCGTCATCATCATCATCATCATCATCATCATCATCATAATCATCATCATCATATTATTATTATTATTATTATTATTGTTATTATTATTATCATCCTTATTATTATTATCATTATTATTATTATTATCATATTCATCATCATCATCATCGTCTTCATCGTCATCAT